TTAAGAACTACTGTAACACCACTAGCTGAACAGGAATTTCTTAAAATACTGCGGTAAATGCCAGACTACAAATTGAAATGAAAACAAAATGAGATAAGTGATCCTAGTGTTAGCTAGCTGTTGTCAGACTTGGAGAAACTCCAGGCACAGGAGAATCACAGCAGCAGCGAAATCAACATGTTCCAACAGCACGCACCGCTTTGAGGCAAGTGAATAGAGAGGGTTTCAGTCCCATTGTCAGCTGCGTTACTTTTGTGCTGGATTTGACTCATTCTTTCACCAGTAATCCGGAGCTCTCCTGGCACCTACAATCACACTGGGCGATTTTCCGCCAGCAAAATGTATAAGAAACATCACTGAGCCCCTGAGCGGCCTCAGCTGGTGGGCAACTGCCGTGCTTCACCGGCATCTGTGTGGTAACAACCGCAGGAGCTGTTTTAGCGAGCCTCCCCAGAAGCCACCACCGGAACGGACATCCCAAAGAAAACTGCAATAAAGACAAGACAGGGTAAACATTTTGCATGAAGACCCGTCCAGACACTACACATTTGCATTTGATTTGTGGACATTTGAAAGAAGACTAATTCCACGCCAGAAAGGTGGAAAGCAAAATACAACATAACAGCTGTTAAGTTTGTGTGAGATACAGTACCTACTGGGTGGCATGGTGGTGCAGTGTGCAGTGCAGTGAGTTGCACCTCACAGCAATTCCAGAGCCAGGATCCAAACTCCCTCTGCATGGAATTTGTATGCTCTCCCCATGTTCACATGGGTTTCCTCCTGCAATCTAAAGTTATACTGGTAATTTAATTGGCTTCTGGGAAAATTGATCCTTGTGTGAGTAAGTGTGATGGACTGGTTGCATCAGTGACAGTACACCACAATAATGTAGATCTCGGTAGACATAGGTCACAAGACCCATGATTCATGCTTTGAATGAAAAAACAATGCTGATTTGTCAGTTTTGCACCATCCGCATCAAGTCTATTGATGCCATGAATGTTAATTTATTTTCTCGTTGGATTGCCTGATTTCACGTGGAGACATCGCAGGTGCTTGAAGCAGAACACCTCTGGTTGGAGCCTCTCCTGAAAGAGCAGTGCCTTGTGATATAATGTATTTTTTAAAATTACACGTTTGCATCACAAGCACTTCATACAGGTTTACTATAGGAATCAAAAGAGTGGTGCTTGTTAAAGAGTGTGCTTATTTTCTAATTCTTAACTGGTACAATTCCTTGGTCCACACATTATTACAAAAACCCCAAAGCTTGATGGGGGGGGGGGTTCCACCTTTAGACCAGCTCCCTAGAGAAAGGTGTCTGATGAAGCTGAACCTGTACTTCCAGATCACTGGCTGCTGGGTAACCAAGGGGCAGCCTGATTGACAGAACAGGCTCAACTGAGAAGGGAGCAGCCATATTCTCTTGCACCTTTTGAGTTTCTGAAACAGTTCTGAACTACAATACATAGCTTATACTTATATAGCGCTTTTCTGGACACTCCACTCAAAGCACTTTACAGGTAATGGGGACCACCAATGTGCAGCATCCACCTGGATGATGCGACGGCAGCCATAGTGCGCCAGAATTCTCACCACACATCAGCTATTAGTGGGGAGGAGAGCAGAGTAATGAAGCCAATTCATAGAGGGGGATTATTAAGAGGCCATGATTGGTAAGGGCCGGGGTTACACCCCTACTCTTTTCAAGAAACGCCCTGGGATTTTTAATGACCACAGAGAGTCAGGACCTGGGTTTTACGTCTCATCCGAAGGACGGCACCTGTTTACAGTATAGTGTCCCCATCACTATACTGGGGCATTAGGACCCACATGGACCGCAGGGTGAGCGCCCCCTGCTGGCCTCATTAACACCTCTTCCAGCAGCAACCATAGTTTTTCCCAGGAGGTCTCTCATCCAGGAACTGACCAGGCTCACACCCGCTTAGCTTCAGTGGGTTGCCAGTTGTGAGTTGCAGGGTGATATGGCTGCTGGCAAGTACTGTACATATACAGTAACTGCTCTCTGATTTTGAGGTCTAATGTTTTTTTTTTACTAAGTTAGGAAAGGTAGAGTTACTGGCCTGCTGCTTATTTTTTAGTTTCAGTTTAGCAGTCATTCCATGTGAACCTTCTGTATACAATGAATGTTATGCAATTAGGGGAAGTAGACTGGCTCAGTACTTTTGATTTAAGTCTAAAGAGTACAGTGGATTTTAGTCTAAAAAATATAGCACATGATGCCTTTATGATATTACTGCACTTTTTTAATTACATATTTAATCAATACAATTCAGAAGCCTCCAATTTTAATCCTTGCAGGATAAAACAATGCACTGAAAAGAGAACGTAATTCTTTCATTTGGCAATTGTCATCAGCATTTGAAAACAATATTAAACCCAGCAAAATGATCTGCAGTTATGTAATTATACAGTTATGAAATACAAATTTCAGATACTTTTTCCTCTTATATTTAAAGTCTTTTACACCCATTGTTTATTGGCAACAGGATCATGCGGCTGAGACTTGAAAGCAGCAAGTTGTTTTTATTGAAAAAAAAACATATTAGTTATATAACAGAGAGGCTCTAGCAGAGTACTGTACCAATGTTTCCAATGTGTCACTGTGGTGTTATGGTAGCATGGTATCACACTGATATCATTAACTGTAAATGGCTTGAAAGAAAAGCTTTGCTGGGGCTTACTGTACAGTATCTGCAAGTTGTTTGTAGAATTAATTCAAAAGACTATAAACAGCAATCATCAGAAAACACTTAAATCTCCCAGTGTCACAATTCTAACTGATGTGACATTCTTTGTGATCTTCAATGGCTTCTATTAAACTAGCTCGATCCCCAGCTGACCGGAAAGTGAACTTCTCTCCCCAATGAGACACTGTAATTCCCAAGTCAGATTCTGTGTTGAATGAAAACAGTACTCATCAAGGTCATGGTCAAAGGTCTTTGCATCATCATTTTATTTCATCAGATCAATTCCTCATTTTTGTCATTCAAAGGTTACACTGCGGTAAACAATGTGTCCTGAATCCTAATATAGAAACATTTTTATAGATCTAAACTCCTAAGAAAAATAAACTTGACGCTGCTCTGTAATTTATTTTATGTTGAGCATCTTTATACATTTGTATATTGTTAGAACCATTTTAGAAATGCAGTTTTACACAGGCAGAGAAAAACTGTATACAATAAACATCACATTCAAGCTAAATTATCAGGAAACAAATAAATATGATCCAAATTATTCATTGTTTTGCAGAAGCACAAACTATATGCGATTCCTCATTCACCAAAACATAGTAGTATTCTTATTAACTGTAAAATCCTTATGCACATAGATTTTCTCTAAATATTTGTGTCCAATATTAAAGTACAACAGCGAATTCTAACATCAGGAGATGGCAAACAGCTCTGTGATTTTCCACCAACAAAATAGTGGTTTAAAAGCAAAAATGACAGGACCCTTAATAGCTACTGCTATTTTCTGTATAGATGGTTTCTAAGATTCTCCAGCGGATAATTTAAAATCCATGAAAAGGTCGATCACTTAATTCTGGTTATCTGAAGACTGTAAAAGAGATATCTCCGTTCCCATGTCCTGATTCCTCCTTGCTTTTTCCATGACAGCCTCTAAAAGCAGTTTAGGAACATCTCTTGAAGGTGAATACAGCTGTTGCTATGGTCCCTTGACACTTCTGGAACACAGCTGGAATTCCAATATTAGAGCAAGGTCAGAAATCTGCTGTCTACAGCTGCTACATGGAATTGCAATATCCTAAACATCATAAAAGGAATAATCACTTCCTGCAAGGCAGCCATTTCCATTTGTGATGATTGAATATGTTCAGCCACGCTCCTATGATTGTCTGACACTGCTCAGATTACCTGTCTGTTTTCCTGTTTAGATTGGGAGCCGAAAATCTCCCACTGCAACTGTCGTGGCACGAAAGGCAAACAGCACAGCCACTGGAAATATGATGTTGCTCCCCGTGTTCCTCCAGTAGCACAGCTGTGGGGTTCTTGAGGTCTAGGAAGTGGATCAGTTCCATCTTTGGACTGAATGTGTGCTTAAGGCTCTGCCAGCCCAATCTTTCTTTCATTTCAAATCCAATAATATGATATATCCCTGGATACATAAACTTAACTAAATAGGAAATGTTTGTTAAATGAAGGGAACAGGCAGCTCCTGATGCAAGCCCAGCCCTAGTCCCGAGATCCAGAGAAGGGTGCCTCTCTAGTCATCTGGCTCGATCACGCACTGCTCCACGATCTCTCGCAGGTTCGGGTTCTCCATCGCTGCTGCCACTCTTTCCTTATCATTGATCTGCTTGTTGACTGTCAGAGGAAGAGGACAGGTCGGGGTCAAATGAGCAAATTACTTGCACAGGGGCCCGTACTGTCTGTCATTCATTTCTCCTCAGGCCCAGCCTTTTCTATTTGTACGTGACTCTCTCAATTTTCTTCTCCGCGGTTAAAATCCTTGCAAACCCAGATGCGGCAACTAATTTAATCTGCCAGCTGTGAGAGTACGCTCGCAATGTCTCACAGCACCCTTCGCTTTTAGACCTGGAAAGCATTTAATGATTCAGCAGATTGTGAATAGTCACTCTAAAACTAAATTTGACTAAAAATGAATATTCATCACCACACAAGTATACATCTGCATAGATCAGAGACCTGTATTAAGAAAAAAAGGGGAAATTCTTCATGAAGACATAGGCTGGAAAAGGGAACTCATTTTGTGCCTGGAGCTATTTCAAGAAAACAAAGGATGTCTGACACTGAAGTGCATGCACACTTACTATCTTCCTCCGTAGAATGTGTTCCTTCAGAAATGTAAATTTCCAGCTGAAACAAATTAATTAGAAGGAAATCAATTAGCAATGTGAAGCTAAAAATGTGAGGAACAGGGTGTTAAATTTCACAGTAGAGATTAAAGACCAACAGTCACCCGGAATGCTGGATACATTGTCTTGCTATAGACAAGGAGAATGGATCGATTTAAACATCAGGACTCTGCTTTTAAAGGTAAAATCTTTATAGTGTATAACAATAAGCAGAGAACACTTACATGTAAGAAACAGTCTTCTATCATATGTTTTAATGATGACATTATAAGAAATAATTAATCTATCAATTTAATGCAGTTATTCACATCATGTCAAAAAATACCATAGGCATCAAATTCTTACCTTGTGTTTGAATGGCAAACATCGCTGTAGCTTTACTTGCAAGCAAAGACCTATTTGAAAAAAAATGTGGTTTTAAAAAATAATTTGAATCTGTTCAGGGAATAGAAATGAAAGATTTTCTCAGTTCATGTGCACCATTACCAGTCAGACTACAGAAAGAATGAACTGTGCTAGACATCAAGAGGGAGCAGTCTTCACTGCAATATTGATGGAGGGCAATTTGAGTTTAATCAGAGAAAAGTAAAGAAAAAATATTCTCAATTTTAATGAACACACTAGCAAACTTCTAAAATCGCTCATCTTGGATTAAAAGCAGATATTTCTCTTTGGAACATGAGTCTAGGTGTAGTGGAAAAAGCTTTATGGGAAGAAAGAGACAAAAAAAAGTCAGTTCTACAGAGGAAAGGAAAGTATATTTTTAAATCTAAATTCGAATATGGACGGAATATTCACAATATCTTAAATCTGTTTGCCTTTCTTAAAGCTCACTCCTGGCATTTTTATCCCGCTTTGTTGAATTAGTAAATGGACTACGTCTAATATACTTTTACAAAAACATAGCTTCTATGTAGTGTAAAGATGAGAGAGAACATTCTGAGTTAATGCCACTACTCATAAACACATGCTGGAAGATGCGTTCCCTGCTAAGAAATGAAAAAGACTCCAATCCTTCTTCTGAAAAAGCTCTCTGTATTATTGCGGGTGTCTGTGCAGACACCAGTTGAGAGTGATAGCAGGAAAGCAAACACTGACATGCACCAGTGAAGCTGTTCAGCACCGAAAACGTCTATTTTAAATTGTACAAAGATATAGTGCATGAGCTCTCATGTTGACACACACTAGCTCATTCTGGTGCACTAACCTTTCTTCATTTATAACCAAGCATTCCGCAGGCAGGGAAAGTCATGTCAACACTGCTTCTATTTATCGTCAGCTACAAGAATCAAATGTAGGATTGCCAAACCCAAGCTGCAGGCATTAAGTAAACATTCATGAAACCAATATGTAATTCTTTAGGTGGAGTGCAGCGTATAGTTTTGTTCACACAAATGTAAGATAAGAAAATCAATTAAATCTGAACCTAACTATTCAAAGGTAAACAGTATGTTTTCACTAATATATACAGAAATATGTAGCTCAGGTGGGTAGCTAGGTCAGCATGCGTAGGCTGCAAAGGAACAAGTAATAGGTTTATTCCATGCTGAAAAGAGAAGAAAGAAAGAAAACACAACGTTTCAGCTGTGGAGCCACTATGCCTTCCCCTAAATCTTTTTCTAGATCTCTTCATCGTTCCTTCTCTTCCTCCCTGGGCTACTTGCCCCCCTCTCTTACTTAAACCAGCATTCTGTCTCTTCACAGCGATCTGGTCCAAGACCAGGCTTTCTAATCAACCCCCTATTCCTTTACAGATGTCGTCAGCTTACACCCAAAGAAGGCTCCACAGCCGAAACCTTGTGTTTTCTTTCTTCTCTTTTCAGCATGGAATAAACCTTAACTTGCTCCTGGACAGAAAACATGTCATCATCCAAAAACTAACCTTAAGGGAAGGTGCAAATAGGCACAGAAGACAATGAGATGACAAACACACAAAGAAGAAGTTATTCTAAACATCTTATGATTACAGACATGTCATCCATGTGATGTGCTGATTTGGTAACGGGTGTGGATTTATTCCATGCTGAAAGGAAAAGAAAAGAGACAACGTTTCGGCTGTGGAGCCTTCTTCAGGTGTGAGGGAGAGAGGGAAACAGGCAGATAATAAAGCAGGGGAGAACAAAAGACAGGAAAGTGCAGAGGAGCCAGGGAGCAGGGGAGAAAGAGTATCGACACTCAGGGAGAAGCCAAAAGCTGCACACCACCACCTCACTGGGCTAGTGCTCATATGACACATGAGTACTCCCAAATAACCCTGCTGCATAAAATGAACAGAATATCACAAGCCACAGAAACCAACTTGTATTTCGAAATTATACTGAACAATGTTAGTCTTTCCAACGCTGAATTATGATTCTGTTTCACACACTGACCTGGCCCCAACAACAAGCTCTGGAATTCCCCCTTTTGGTCAGATTCAAAAACTCAAGAGTCAGCATTGTAGGGAGAACACACCTGCTACACAACTTGCCAGGCTGTCTTATGGGCCCCTCTGCAAGTAATTTACCCCCCCCCCCAACTCTTACCTTCACATCACTTACCGATCAGAGTCGCCAAAGAGCAGTGGGGCACTGTGGGGCAAAATCTGATGATGATGAGGTATTCCTCTTCGCCTATTTCCTGGACCTCCACGCACTTCTCTGACACCACGTCCAGCTCTTCTAAAGTGTTGGGCTTCTCCGGGTCACGGATTGTGCGAATGACATCTTCAATCAGACAAAAGCAAAGGTATTATTTGACCGAGAGGAAAAGGAGAAAATAAAACACGTGATCTACCACTAAGGCTCTTCGTGACGTGACGTTTTTTACAGTATCTGCAGACCAGCTTTGGAGTGATCCTGTTCAAATCAGCTTACTCCTCTGATACAAAACAAAACCGCAATAAACTGACATCAACAGTTTTTGTGGACACATAAAAATATTTAGCTCTTCAAAAGATTGTTCACGTGCATAAAAGTCAGTTTAACAATCTTAATCGTCTCTCTGTGCCTTCAGCGTAAGCCCTTTTCAAGAAAAACCCTGTACTCTAAATCCCCACCGTACCGGTTAAGAACTCCATAGGTATTTCATGATTTTCTGCGAATCGTGTCGGGTTTATTTTCTTTTAAAACTTAAAACAACAACAACAGCAGCAGCTTGTTTTCGTGTTTAACTCAAGATCGGGCTCCGATAACGATCAATAGCTGACTTGTTCAACATTGGTCGATGGTGTAAATACCGTAAACTTCTAATGCCTTTTCTTCCATTTTTTTGTTTTTCTGCGCATTCTCTCGTTCAGAAAATCCGGAGAGTTGTAGAACTTTGGCTACTGTGTAAGACACCAGGCCGGACACTATTTCCATCTTCAAAAAGCGCCATACTCCAGCGGTGTCATATTGACAGACTTCTCTTCTCCTTGGCCAGTTAAGACATACATAGTTGATAATAGGTGGGTGACATTCACTCGGCCAGTTAAGACATATATAGTTGATCCAGATGTCATACACTCTGCCAGTTCATATACAGACGATATTAGATGACATTCATAATAACAAAACTCTTCTGATTTACTACTTAGCTCACTATACGTTATATATCTGGATCTCTTCCACTCTTTAATATGTGTAGCTTGACCACCAATCGTTCTATGTTGTATTGACCACTTTGGCCTTATTCATACACCCTCCCCTTTGCCTTCCGCTGATTGGTCAAAATAAAGTGCTGGAATGTAGATTTGGTGTCTGGTTGCATGGGTTCAGTGTCAATCAATCTCTCAGTCACGAGAGAGGAAGTGACTGTAAATACGCAGTAGTGGCTTTTGACGTTTTTATTTACAATCTTTTTGTAAATATAGGTTTAGACACGGGATGAATCGTCAAAAAATAACCTCTGCCGCATTGGTCGGTATTAAAGAAACTTCCAGATAGCTGCATATGGAGCCACGTTTCGATACAATCTTGAGTGAGCTTTTTGTGAACTGAAAACCAAGACACGAAAATCACCAGACGAGGGTTTTTCGTGTATTCTGCTTTCTGCTCATGTAGTGGTCATATAATGCTTAGTCATAATTTAAACATGTTTTGACGAGGTCTGTTAATTGGGTTTCGGCTCGTGGGAGCAACGTATTTCAAGATACAGTAACTGTATGATAGCAGCCAAGCCGATATGTTGAACCAGTCAGACAAATCGGACTGTGCCGTAAAACGCGTTCTAGAAGTTCTGCTTGTGTCAGACAAGGAGCTCTGTAAAAATGTTCAGGACACGATAAAGGCTAAGGCTGAGAAGAGCTGCTCATGGCTTTGCTGTTTAAGTGCCAACGGAAGTCTGCAGATAACGACAATTGCGAACAGCAGCAGAACGTATGAGAGAACAGTTGAAGAAGAGGAGTGCGTCGAGTAAGTAAAACACCCACAGTGGCAGTTCACTTTTAATTTGTGTTCCTCTTTATTTTGGTAGGTTTATAGAACAACTCAGCGGTTTGATTTTGTTTGTTGATGGACTGCTTTACAGTTCTTTTTTCTTCATCTTCAAAATGACCGATTTTAGTGATAAGTGCAAATAAAAATACACAAATTCACTGTACATTTAATAATAAAATGGGTAATAATAAAAACGCTTGATCGACAATAAAATCAACCGGTGCCAGAGATCCTCCAGTCCTTGTAGCACCACAAACCAGTAGATCTGTTATGCAGGACTCTAGATGATTGTTTCCCTAGAGCTGGTCTCTTAAAGCATAGTTTAATCCCGATACAGCGTGTTTAAGAAAGTGATTCTTTTATCCACTTGATGAAACCAATTAATTCAATAACAAAGAGTTTTTAACAGGGGTTTAGGGAGTGAAAGCATATAAAGCATCACAGCTTAGACGTTTGTGGAGAAGGTATATCAATATCGCCTTTTCCCTTCAGATTTTTGCGATTGATGATCTAAGTAGACTTTAGACTAAGTACACTTTGTGCCGGCAGCTTTGTGTGGGAGGATCCAGCTGTGCCATGTGTGGATGGAGGCAGGCCGAGGCTCCTGGCTCTGGACTCCAGCAAAGGCCTGAGACTTTACAAACTGGAGGCAGCGGAGGCTGAGGAAGTGGACACGGTCACCTGTGTCGGCACCTGTACCGCAGAAAACCTGCTGCAGCTGGTGATAGGCGAAGATCTGAGTGAGTGCAGCAGCACCACAGCTGCCCATCTGAGCACTTTTACATTTTGCAGTGCACAGAAAGCAAGAGCATCATGAATAGAAAATTGAAAGAGATGTTATGCCCTGTTAAGTTTGACTAGTATAAGTGCTAAACTACCTTACTATCATACATCTACAATCTATTCACATTTAATGGTTTGCTTTTTATTGAAGTCACCTTTGGGTTGACTTGCTTTTTTTCAGAACTTTTATATTAAACTGGTTATTGAATCATGTCTGTAATATCTTAATTAGTAGCATTGTAGATTTTAAATATGGGTACTGTCAGAAAATACAAAGGGTATGAACTTAAGCACACAGTCTTTCTCTTCTTAGATCTGACGGCAGTGTTTTAGACATAACCCAGCTTGTAAAAAGGTATTGATTTAGGTCCTGTTTCTTAAGCTCTTCCTTAGAGAACAGTTGTCAGCTCTCATGGGCTGTTATTTCAGATGACAGAAAGTGCTGGTTGAAGTGGTTTGTACAGCTTAAAAGTGCCCCCACATTTGCAGAATGGCTTCATTTCTAATTTTTTGACTGCTTCATCTATTAGTGTGCAATTGAGCCTCTTGTTCACGTTTGGTTATAGGAAATCTCTGAAAGTATCATGCTCTGAAAGCTCTCCTCATTCAAGCATGAATGTCAGCCTCCAGTTACAATGTCCTTAGCACATGTAGGCAGGTCTCTCTTTGTGGGATTCTTGATCTTTTACTATGATCATGTAGAATTTCTGAAGGTATACATACAACAATATGTGGGAAAAATACTGGAAAATGTTTGAGATATTGGTGATTAATAATAATACTAATAATTAATACTTTTCCTTAAAAAAAGACCAATTCCTAATATCTTATTTGTCTTTTGTTGACAGTATGCTTGTGTGTTGGTTGTTCTCTGCAGGTGTGTCCCAGTGCATGTCTTTGATTCTACTGTGGTTTGGGAATGGGAGGAGCTTTGTGCTTCTGAATAGCTGCATTCTGGTGCAGCTTGTCTGGGATGATAGAGGTGCATCTCCACAGGTCCTGGGCTGCCACATCTTGGGCCTCCCTCAACAAGCTCTGGACAACATCACTGACTGCCAGATCTGCAGGGGCACCCTCTTTCTTTTAGCCAACACTGGCCATATATGTATCCTTGAATGGTGACCAACCACATGGACAAATTTTAAAATCCTATAGGAAAGAGTGTGAAAACATCCATTTACCTCTAGGGTGAATGAATGAAATCTTTCTTCTCAGAATACACGTGCATGTCTTTTTTTATCATTGTAAGGACTTAAGAATGCATGTGTCCCATCCAGTTAATAAATGAAGCAAATGGAATAAAACTGGGCATACTATGTATGTATTTTAGTGCTGTCTTTGGTACTCAGGACTAAAATATGTGCATAGTGTGCCTTTATTTAGGATTTTAATCCTGACTTTGGTAAGGGATTCTTGTTGAGCAGCTGAATAAACATTCTGTCTTATTAATCAAATTCAACAGAACCCATGCAGAGAGCAGAACTTTAAATACCAACTTCATTCAGCATCTCTGGTGGCTTTTTGGTCAAGAACACTTGCTCTGCTTTTAACCATAGTTTTTCTTTGTTCTCTAGAGTCAAATGTTTTTTTTTATAACATTATATCAACATTAAGAAAAAGTGTAATGTATTTCATTTAATCAGTGCAGTTCTGTGAAGGATTCTCGGTGGATTGAAACACTTTGGCATTACCTTTTACAAACACTCCACTAATGCATTTGTCTTGTTTAACTTTTTTTCTTTGAACTACTAAAATCCTTTGGAAGCAAGTGAGCAGAATTCCCTTAGTAGACCAAAGTGCATGTGCTGTTCATATCAGGGCACCAGCTGTCTCTGACAGCCCTTGGCCCGGAGAGATTTGAAGGCTAGGCCTGACTAGGTAATGAGATTGAACAGAAGGCATGCAAAACTAAGCAGAGCTCTTTGCTTCTGAGGCAGACTATAGGGAGAACTGTGAAATCTATAATTTATACAGACACTACTGTGGCGTGAGTGAATAACATTTTCCTGTGCATCTTTAACCTGAATCCTCAGATATCTTCGACATGAATGAAGGCAGACATCTGGCTAGTGTGGATTTGCCCCTGTACAATTTAGCTATATCCGGAGAAAATGACTCTGTGCCCCGTCTGTCTTCTTTCAGCCTGTTTCAGGTGTCGCAGGACTTGGCCACTGTTGTGGCTGTTACATGCTTTAACTCTGCAATATGTGTTGATTTGAACAACTATTTCAGGTGAGTCAAATGTACAGGTGGGGGTTCATAGGTTGAGGTCCTTTAGTTCAACCATACAAAAAAAGACCACATTTTCTGTGCGTTTGAAACTTTTTTGCACCCTAGCCTTGTCTCCATGTTTGAAGGACATCATAGTAAAGTGGACTTAGCCGATGTCTCTGTTTCTGCAGGAGGTATCCTGAGCACATGCTGTGCTGCCAGTCCCCCGTTTGCCCACCACTCAGGCCTGCGGGGGCATTGGACCAGGACTGCCTGTCCAGTGCAGCCTACAGCCAAACACTGCTGGGAGGCTCCTTTCACGTAGACCGGTGAGTTAAGAGCTGCCAAACATTCACCACATATGTGCAGTTTATGTTAGTTTAAAGCCATGTTAATTGTACAAACAAATTGGTAAGGAAAAACATTAGTCAGGTAGTATACTGTAAGTTATTTGTTCTATTTTGATCCCAGGCCTTCACAACTAGACCACTAGATTAAATTTAATCCATTTCAGGTTTTCTGAGCTCATACATTAAATCTGTTTGTTAAATGTTCATCTTTTGTGATGTGCTTTTAGTTAAATACAGGTTAAATAAAACAGTGTTTATTGTGGCACCTTTCTTCATCAATGATAATTTGTGCAAGGGCTCCTAAAACTTTTAATGGGTCAAACTACTTTACATTTGGAATCTCAGGTGTCTCTTCTGTCTTCCTTGTAATTCTTCAAAGTCCATGTGAATTAATTTTGTCTGTCTACATGCAAATTAATTAAAACTGTTTCTATTTCTTGACCTTTATAAAGTTCCTGGGAAGCTCGTTTGTCTTTACTGTACAACAAAGCAAGGGCGTCTACACATCAATACGAAGCTGGAACTCCTTGGTACCATGCGCTTCCTCAGGTAGAGGGCAAACGAACAGCAGAAGTTCCATGTGCAGCTTCTCCCTTGGTTTGGGGAGCTAGGCTGCGTAACACAGAGCACAGCCAGGCAGAGTCAAGCCCAGCAGTAAAGGAGGGCGTGATGAAATTTCAGTTGCATGGGGAGAGCCTGGCTCCAGCCTCTCTGGCAGTTTCTGAGTTTTCTGCAGTTCTGACCTTTGTCCTCCCTCGAAGCGAAGAAGCCCTCACTGTGTTTTGGGATCTTCAGAACCAGGAAGTGATCTATCGCCATTCTAGCAGACTCTGCATGCCTGTACAACACTGTGGAGAGGAGCAGCTCTGCCTGTTTCTGAAAGGTGAGATCAGTGCTACGCTGTACACTGCCCATTCTTGACAGTTCCAGTTGTTTGTAATCCTGCCGTAAAGGAAAAACATGTAACAGTTGTCAATTGTTTATCATATTTAAGTAGAACATAAGGAAAGGCTTCAACTGAGAAGATGCTGTTTGGCCCTTATCTCTCACTTAGTCGATGGTATCTTATGCATCTGAGAAAGTCATCCGTACTTATTTTGAAAGACCTTCTAGAGTCATCTTAAAGACGGTACCTTGCAAGACAGTCCTAACTGTGAAACCATTTTATGTTGACCGTGTTGATATTTTTGAGGATTCTGAATGGACGCATTGAAATACCTAGTGTATTCTGAATATGTCATGGCTATACGGTAGAAAGTGTATGCAGAGCTGTGCAGTAATGTCAGGTGTGAGGCGGTTGTCTAGAGCTGTGCTGTGTGCCCTCAGCTGTTGGCCTGTCCCTGCTGCTGTTTGGAGTGACTCAGGAGGAGCTGCTGAACAGGCTGATGGTGTATGGCAGTGCGGGTACTGTGGACTCACTCTGCCACCTCAATGGCTGGAGTCGCTGTTCCATTCCCATCCATGCCCTGAAGGTAAGCTACTGGAGTATGAAAATACTCCTGTAAACTTTTAGATTTAATTCTATGCTTTTATACTATTTAATAAATATTGTCACTATTGTGTTGTTTCCAGTCTAGAATATCAACTAACACCAAATTCTAAAACCCATCAGCACCTCTAATAATGCTTTTACTAGACTTGCCAAATGAGATAGCACCTTCAATTATTTTTCAGGCTGGCCTGAAGAATCACCAACTGGATACAGTCGACTTTTTCCTCAAAAGCAAAGAAAATATTCTTTGTCCACCTGCGAGTTATACTTTACCAGAACAATCTGTGATCATTCCAACTCATTCCCAGTTGAAAAGTAGGTATTTGTGAGTTGCTAATCATGAAATGCAATGAATCATGGTTGCAGTTTAATAATGGTGTAAATCCATCTATCGAAAGCATTACCAAACACAGCAGGTTGCATTATGTCAGGTACATATCATGCTACAGCTATTATATGTCTTGTTTCTGTACTGCAGAGAATCAGCTAGATTCATGTGAAATTGAGCATTTCTGCAAATAACTCAACTACCTTTCCATGATTAGAAAATCAATATCACAAAATAGTCTTGACAGACTAAATTTATATAAAATGTATAGTATATACTATAGCACATGTAGAGTATAAGGTTATATAAAAAGAAAATGTTCTTCTCTAAGCCTAATTCATTTTTTACTTAATGAGTAGAAACAATTAAAATAATAAGCATCACAGAACATTACAGTGTGCTCGCTAGCTGTACCCACATCCTGATGTTGTATAGCTAGAATTAATCTTTTTGCACAAAAATGCATTAGAGATAATGGAGAGGACTCAGAACATATTATGGCACTAATCATTTCATAAAATGTACCTGCCATCATAAATCACTGTCGGTGTTGATGCATGAAAGATCCATTAATCTTTCTGCTGGGAAAATTGCCTAATGCAATAATGTAGTTAGCATTAAAGCATTGACAGATTTAACCATCTTTTGTTACGTGTCTCTGTGATAATTGTTTTAGTGGAATGGAAAGCAAGTTGATGTCTGGGAAAAATTGAGAACATTTAATTCTCTAATTGTCATTTTATACTGGTTTGGTTGTATTGCTCTCCAATTTTGTATTTGTAGTTATACGTTTCTATTGTGCCTGCTTTCATGTTCGCTGCAGATGTGGAGGATCTTTGTCCAGCACTTGATCTCCTGTGCTCTGCCATCAAAGAGACCCACTCAGAAGCCCAGAGCAAGCAGTTCTCAGAGCAGCTGCTCAACATCACCATGACATTCCTTAACAAGCAAGTCAGGGAAATTCTCTGTAGTACAGATGGTAATATCTCTCTGGCTCATAAAACTTTGATAGAACGTGTGGCACTATTATGCAGACTGTAGTTTTCAAACCTTTCTCTTTCTTCTTTTTGTATCTCCTCCATCATGTGTTTTGTGTGACTTTCTTTTTGTTGGTGTTGCGCCAGATCTTTGGGGGATTTGCTGTCACTTTTATATTTCCCGTGCAAATGTCAGTAGAATCATCTGTGAGATGTTTTTTTCCAATACGCGTTGATTGAACAAGCTGGGTAGCCTCACCGGCGGGAATTTAAGCAGAAACAATGACGGATCTTTGGTTTTCACATAAAACATAGTTCGTGAAAGGATAAGAGACAGGGAAACAACAATCGAATCTTAACATTTATTAGTACCCCACAAGGTTAAAGAATATTTTCAATTTCATTGTTTCAGAGCTGATATTGGTCACAATGTATTGTATTCTCAATCTAAATTCAGTGACATGGGCTGTATTTTCTGCTGTGTTTCCTTGGGTCAGAGCTGGATGATTGTCTTCAGAAGTGTGTGGATATTCTGAACAAGTACATATCTGAGCTGCGCATCTTCATGAAGAAATTTCCTTGGACTACTGCTGTGGGGACTTCAACCCTCAGCTCTGACCACACAGAAGGGAGTGGTATTGGTCTCTGGCAGAACTGGCACAGACTGTCCACAGAAGTGAGTTTGACTGGGGACAGGCTGTACTGTATATGTTCTAATGTATATCTTCAGGAAAAAAATGGAAAAATGATCTTGGCCATCTCAGTAACATGGGCTCATTAGTGGGAGTTTAATGATGCATGAATGCCAAACAAATGAGAGTTCTTCTTTCCCTATACCATTTTTGGTGGTAGTTGTATCTTCAAAAGAAGCTAAGTAATTCCTTAAGTTGACATTTTTTTTATTTCAGGCATTTTCAAGTTATGTGCAAAGGTCTATTTCACTTTCAATCTAAGAGTTACAAAAGTAAAAACAAATGCTGGAGCAAGTATAATTTCAGAGTTTCAGTATAATTTTCCCTCTGGAACTCAAGTCACAGTCAGGTGGGGTATGCATTAGGGTAATATCCTTTTAACGCTGCATTTGTATTAATGAAGGACTGCTACTGTGTTCTTTCGTTTTTTCCAGGATGTCGTTCAAAGTGCTATCTTGAACAATGATATCCCTCAGGCCCAAGCCTTTTTCAGATCTGTGCAGAATCCAGCGGAGAGGCTGGAGGACCTGCTGAACATGGGGCTACTCTGTGCTTTGCGCTGCCTGTCCGGGAAAGACCTGTGCCAGGCTACAGCGCTCCTGAGGAACATGGTGAGTGACCAGCAGCTCTAGCAGGGTGCCTGAACACGAGTCTCTATCAGTGACTTGTCAGTTAGTACAGTACCTGCAGTATTTAACCTGAATGGCTCTTGCAGAATGTAGATCACTTTTGAGGCTTCACTCACTATCATGGCATACACGTACAGTAACTGTTAGGATTCAGTCCCTAAGGGCAGAATCTAATAATCACCGTTCTGTGAAAAGAAATGCCCTTCTGTTTTCTTTTTAAAAGTTTGATTTTTGAGAAACAAAAACACAGTTTGCCTTTTATAGATGCATTATGTGCAATACTTATGTACAGTGGTAGAAAAAATATTTTGGAAGTAGGTCAGCTATTGTCCTGAGTTGATCTAAACAACTAGTCATCTTTGGATGGCAGAGTGGCATAGTGCTTAGCATTGCACTTTGTAGTGCTGGGGCCCTGGGTTAAATTTCTGGGGTGCTATCTGCGTGGATTTTGTACGTTCTCCCTGTGTTCATGTGGTTTTCGCCAACAGTCCAAAGGCATACTAGTACGTTAATTAGCTTCTGGGAAAACTGGCCTTGGAGTGTGTTTGTGTGTGGCTGCGTCGGTCAGTCTGCTCTGCATTGGACTGAGGTCTAGTCCGGGATGTACCTTTCCTTACATTCTTTGCTTGCCGAGATTTGCTCTGGCTTCCCCGTTATTTGTGAAATGGATGGATGGAAAATTTTTTTTTAATTTTGCAATTTCTTTTTAGTGTTGCAGTTTTTCATTGACTAACCCACTTTAATGTGTAAAAATGATTTGTTTAGGGTTTCAATGTGAAGGAACAGTTGCACACCATATGCCTCTATACAGATGACAAGGACTTGAGGGACTTTGTGGTACGTATTTCCATTTATAAGCTGTGAAATTCAAGTTCCTGAGAAACAGTTCTAGGAATTGTTAGTATTGGGGCTATGTTAGTATTTGTTGGTAGCGATTAGGAGTTTAAAAGGACACAGTTTCCTTCTTTCTTAGGTGGAAGAATTACAGAAGCAACACTATTTACCAGATAAGGAACAGAGAATGGTGAAATTTATTAAACAGGTCGAAAGCTTGTGTTCATTGCCAGCTACCAGATGCAAAAAGAGCCAGTCAAGGAGAAGGTGAGATTGTGGTGTTCAGTTGCCTTTTACAAAACATATAAACTTCTTCACTGTCTTTAAGTATTTTTGTTTTCTGCATTTTAAATCTGTGTTGATCAATGCTGACTTTGTAGTCTACTTTTGCATATTAAAAGGATATGCTTTTTTGGTATCCTTGAGTTTATTTTTTGGCCTACACTTCATAACTTTTCAGACGTTTGTGATTAACAGAGAATAAAACCAGGTAACAATAAATAAATA